TATATATATATATACATCTATATAAACGGCTAAGGGTGTTCCATAAATCTATCAGAGATACTAATAAATAAACTATTGGATACGGCATTCCATATTATAATGGCTTCAAACTGCTTCATATTTTTATTCAGACACATGACGACTATTAAAAATTGTATTTCTGAACTCCACGATCTAGTTTTTTTTCTTAAAAACTAAGGAGGAAATATTTATTATTCTCTTTTTCACTAGGAGGTTGCCTAACTGCTCCCTCTGAATCAAAAATCAACAACTTATTGATTATTCTTAGTGCTTACTTAGGTACATTCTAATAGACGAGCCGCTACAAACGGAACTTGACAACCTGCCAACGATTTTTTTTTGAGTAGAATTTCAGATATTTTAACCTTCCTGTTACCATTTCCATTTGGATAAAATAGGAAAACTGTTTTATTTTCTTATTTCTTCGAGTATATAGCGATATATATTTTTTGGGCGTTTTTCATATGTATGGGTTCCAACAAATCCAAAACGAATGATGGCAAAAAGTTGGATCAAGGCTCCACTAAAAAAAATAAATCGGTTTTTGGTGCTGGCGTCCATGTTGGGCGTACCGGTAATGTAGACCTGGCGGGTCGTAACATGAATTTCTTAGGAACCAAAATTGTTAACATGATTAACAACGACGAGCTCCACCGAACGGCCACCTCATTAACCTTGTCCCACAACAAACTCTATACCATCGGAAAGGAGATAGCGTTCTTGCCGAATATTCGAGAAATATACATTGATGACAACAAATTCGAGCGTCTGCCGAAGGCGATCCACGTTTTACAGCGGCTCTGGAAGATCGACGCGAGCGTGAACGCGCTGGACCACAACAGCGGGTTTGAGGTGCTGCCCAGCCTGGCCGCCTTGCGGTCCCTGACGTTGTGCAAGTGCAATCTCACCCGAGTCCCCGGCCCTCTTTTTAAGTGCAAATTCCTCGAGGAGCTCGACCTCTCCGACAACCCGGCCATCCACCTCCCTGAAGGTCCCTTCGCGTCGTTGGAGAAGCTGATGGTGTTGCGGATCGCGAACTGCGGCATCAAAGGCGGCGCCCTTCCCGACAACATCAAACGCATAACAACCTTGCTGACGCTCGATATCTCCGCGAATCAATTTAGCAGCTTTGAGGAGACCTTTTTTGGGATGACGATCCCCCAAACACTCCAAAGTTTGCATCTGCGGGAGATGGGCCTGGAGTCCATCCCGCAGGTTATTGTGAAGCTTAAGAATTTGGAATATTTGGACCTCGCGTTGAACCCGATCACGTCCTTGGATGTGCTCGCCGGTCGGTTAGTCCGACAGCCCCCCACCCCGATCGGGAACATCCACACGTCGCGCTCGTCGGAGGTGCCGGTGGATTTCGAGGCAACCTACCACCCAGCCTCCAACTCGCTCGATTTGGAGGAGGAGAACGCGAAAAAAAATCTCAACCTCAGCGCGAGCAACTTTTCCGCGGCGATCGCCGCGGCCGACCCCGCCGGGGGGAGGTCCGGAAGGGAAAAAGACGCCGCGTTGGAGGGGAACTCGAACGCCGGGGATGATCATGGCAGCATTAGCAGTCATCTGAGTATCAGCAAATTCAGCAAGGCCGGGATGATCGCCAACGTGGCGCTGCCGATCTTGATCAAGAAGCTCTCGCTACGGAACTGCGGCCTGCGCACCGCCCCGAAGTACTTTCACAAGCTGACGAATCTGGAGGAACTCGATCTGTCGGAAAACTACAATCTCGAGGATCCGAACATGACGCTCTTTTCGCTTCAGAATTTGCGGGTCTTGAACATCGTCGGATGCCCCTTTGCGGATAACCGCTGCAAGACCAAAAATGAATGGTTCGATATCGCGAAGCTACGCAATCTGGAAAACATTCAGTGGGAGTTGTGGATGGGTAATCACAACCTAAGCCCATATCGTACTCGAATTCCCATTGAAATATGTGGCTTGCCGTTGAAAACGATTAATCAGATCAAGCTGCGAAGCGATCTTTTTGTTGGCGATACTATCAAGACAACCATTAACCTCCTGCGCGATGCGTACTTCAAAGTGGACTTTTCCGTAGAAGACAATGTTGTGGATTCATACATGGAGGCGATTCACACTTTTACCCAAGCGAGGGCGTTTTTTTTCCAAAAGAGATCTCGTTAAATCATAACCTAAAGAAAAAATTTACGACTATAATCGGTAAGGAGCTCGGCCGGTGTCACCTACGAATTGCACTTTGCCGGTACATATTTTTCTTGTCGATTCAGGCTGCCAACTACGACGCCGTGTTTATTCCCCCGCTTGATGTCATGATTATCCACTACTCTCAGATCACCTTGAATCCCGCGAAGTACCGCACCGACTGCGAGGCGATTGGAGGACGAATTTTGGACTGCAATTACCGTTCTTTTTTCTATGAACTACAGCAAAATCCAGAAGCCGCGATGAAAGTGGTCATGGCGAGCAAAGTCATATGGAATTTAATGGTGCGCTCAACGTATAAAGAGCTGGGCTGGCTGCGGTACGATTTTTGGTCTTTGCGGGTTCGAATTAGTGCCGATCCGTTCTTACCTTTGACGCCGGAAAACACTACCGAAGCGACGCCTTCGGTGAATATAGACCACCCCGACGAACCCGCGAAAAGAGATGTAATGCGGCTTTTATACCTCTACGAGGACCCTGGCAGCCAAACCAGCGACGCGCTCCTTGAGGACTTTGAGAAGCTTGGCAAGATCGACACGGCGGCCGATCTCAGCGAAATCATCGACTCCTCTATTACCTCGCACTTTTTTGACCAGGGAACTGCCGTGTTTTTGAAAACCGTGGAGGAATTCTTCCAATGCAATGATAATCTTATCGAACATGAGTCCATGCTTTGCCGAGTTAACTGGGATTGGACACGCTACTTGAGATTTCTGACCCTCTACGCCTACCGAATTTCTCTCAAGTCGTCCCAGATTTCGACACCGAAGACGGAGCGAAGTAACGAGATCAATGGAAATTCCTTCCTCTCGGTCGGCCCCGAGAAAACCACCTCCATCCTAGGGCCGCACTACGACAGGTTTCAAAACGTCAGCTTTACGAATTCTGACAAGTATTTGCCCATCCCCTCGCAGCCCACGCCGTCAAATTGTTTGAATTTCCCCATACCCCAGTTCAACACCTCCATGTATCCGAATTCCCAACAACAAGGCGTCCCAGTAAGCGTCCAGAATGCGATTAAGAAATTCAAGGTGAACCCGGTCCCCACGATGGCCATTTCGTTGTTGTTGTACGCCCACCGGACCTCTTTTAATCGCTATTTTCAAACGCTCTCGCTCCTGGGGATTCAAAAAGTCGGCATCACCTGGGAGGAGAACAACGAGAACATTAAGGCCACCCAAGTCGCCTGGAAGGCGCTCTACGACGAAGTCTACGTGGTCAACATACAAAACTTTCGCTTTAAGGGCAAATCCGCAAGCCGAACCGACCTTCCTCTCCGAAAGGTTTCGACAAACCGTTTAACTACTCAAGAGCTCCACACTTCTTCCGCCGACGCCCTAATTTCGGACGGATCGTCTAAAGGCAAAGTTGATTACCCCATTAGATCGGAAAACACAGAAACGCAGCAAGTTAGCTGCTACTCTGCACAGGTCAAACCAATGAACTCTATTTTGTCCAAACGCACTGGTAAAAAACCGCCGTCAGGCTTCAAGAAGGTTCTATTCTGCACAGGGCTTGAGTTTTAGGGCACTTTATTGACTGAATAAATGAAGAGATCAATACATACATATATATATATATATATATATATGTGTGTGTGTGTGTGAGTGTATATGCAATTCATAGTTTTCACATATACTACCATAATAGTCGCTGATAATTTTGAAAATTCCAAAATGTCATAATAAAGCTTTGTGATATATATATATATATATATGAGTTCCATTAAAACTTCGAATCCTACCATTGAAATGTTAAATGTATATGAGCTAATAAGTTAAAGTTTCCTTTCTAATGAATGAATATGAATCTTTTTTATGTAGGTAAATAATATTCATACATTACTTATGTGGGAATCTGTGGGGTTTAATACGCCTGTGATTGCTTGTGTTTTCCTCTCTTTTTGTATAATTATTCCCCCTGCTGAAATCAATAGTGTGAAGTTTGTTGATTAAAAATAGATGAAAAGGTTTAGATAAACATGCTAAGCTGTGAGTATATATTAAACAAGATATTGCCGATCGTGCACAAAGGCTATAATAGAAAGGATATCTTTATACCCAGAGAACTGGACTCTTGAGATGAGAAAAGAAGCAAAGGTACATTTAATGCGCTAATAAATACATATATATTTTTATTTATTTATCGCTTTATATTACATTTTTCTCTGTGTTCTCTAGTTTTTTTCTTATTTTTATAGTTTTTCTCCATTGTGTCTGATACATTTCCTTCAAATCTTCACGAAAATATTATACCCATTTTCAAAAATATATCCCAATAAATTAAAACAACTCTTTTGGATGGTAGTGTTTGCTATGTGTGTAATCTTTTGTATCCCTTTGATGGATTCTAGGTTGAACTAAAAAAAATAAAGCTAATTTGACGCTAACAATTGATTTTTTTTTTTTACATGATAGTAGTTGTTGTTTTTCTTTATGGTTTTTGTTCTTCTTTTCAATTGAGGTATTATTTATTTTCTCCCGCATAACTCATTTTGCATACGGTTTACCCTTCATCGACCCCTTAAAACCTCTCTCTTCCCTGTGGTGCTCCGGTTCCCCCGGTTCAGCCTCGTCCCTGTGACACCCACCCCTGTCCTTTCCACGTCTTTGCGTTTTCCTGTTGTAGCGCTGTTACACACACCCACAAACCCACACACACAAACTCCTCAGTCCACGCGTCTTAGCCGATCCCTCTCCTGGGCTTTGGTGGGATCTTCGCGGCCTCGTCTCGCGCACGCCGCTGTCACTGAAGTAGGCCGCCACGGGTGGTACTCGCGCCGGTGACTTGCGTCCTGTGGATGCCCGGATGTCCCAGCGAAAGCCTCCGAAAGTGTTAGCCGCCGCCGCCCCGGCACGGGCGGTGCGGCCCCACACCACCCCCGCCTTGACGCCGGCGAAGAAAAAGACGGCGAAAACAACCCCCGCCGCGCCCCTCCACGCGACGCCGGCGCGGCCAACCAAGTCGAAGAGCCCGGCAGTCCGCAAGACCCCTTCCCACCCCGCCCACCTCGTCCGCTCGGACGGGGTGAATCGACGCCGCGTGGCCCCACCCTCC